GGACGCCCACGCGCCTCTCTCGCGGCAGATGCGTACACACACACACACACACACACACACACACACACACACACACACACACACACACACACGCACAGGTGGGCGCGCGCGCGTGCGTGAGTGTCTGCGTGCGAGTGTGTGCGCGAGTGCTCGAAGCCGCCCACACGCGCGCCCACCCACACCGAGCCTTTATTCTGCTCGTAAAGTCTGCTCGAGTTACTGCGCGCGTAGCAGCCAAAGATGGAGCCATGAAAATGTGCGGTAGGGCCTGGCTGCCGTCCGTCCGTCTGCCCGTCGGTCTGTCTGTCTGTCTGTCTGTCTGTCTGTCTGTCTGTCTGTCTGTCTGTCTGTCTGTCTGTCTGTCTGTCTGTCTGTCTGTCTGACTGTCCGTCTGTCTGCCCGGCCGGCCGGCGCGGTGCAGCGGCGGCGGCACTGGCACTATATCGAACTAATTGTCAACATGGCGCTGTGCGGCGCGGCGCCGGAGAGGCGGCACTCAGCGGGGCGATTTCGCTTCCTCGTGGAACTAACTCCCTCCGCGACATTGTGCGCGAGCAGGCCCTCGAGGGACGGGGCGGGGCGGGGCGGAGCGCTTGGCTTAAGTGGGGTGGGTGGTGGTAAAACGGAGGTGGGCCCGGCGCGCCCCACAGTTTGGAAGGTGAGGGTGGGTGGGGGAGGGGGTCAGATAGGGTGCAATGTAGTGCCCTTTCGGAGCGGGCCAGGGCCCTGCGCGGCGCCGTGGGGCCTCCCGATCATCAGCTCCTAAAACCCCCTCGCCGCGGCGGTGGCGGTGCGGTGCGGTGCCCCGGCCGAGCCCTGCCCGGTGCCTGCCTGCCTGGCTGCCCGCCGCCCGGTGCCCCAGACTCGGCCAGGCTCCCGCGCCCGGACAAGGAGCACACGTCCAAGCAGGCGGAAGTGGTTCAAATGGCGAAACAAGGGATAAGGGCCCTCGTACGAGCAATAACAAATGGGATACAAATGGTAATCCCAGCCCACTTTAGTTTCCGCCACCAGTTTTTTTTTCTGCGTCTGTGTGTGTCTGTTTGTGTTTCGCTGCGGTGTTTTGTTTTCGTTCTTTGTTCTTCGCTGTGCACCGAGATGCTGGAAGGGATGGCGGGGCTGTGGCGGGGCTTCGGCCGGGATTGCGGTGTGCAAGGAGCCGAAGGAGCAGCGCCGGGAGACGGCGCCCATCGCGTCTTTTGACGAAACGACAATGCAGCCGCTTCCGTTTCCTTTTTGTTGTTAGGCCCGTCAGCTCGACGGACAGACGGAAGGGCGAACAGACAGACAGACAGACACCTAACCCCGGCGGGCCCGGCTGGACTCCTCCGGAAGGCATTCAGCTAGGCTGCTCCTTTTCATTCATAATAAGACCGGGCCGCAAAGCCAGCAGCGGACCACTGCTGGACAAATTTGCAGAGGAAACGCAAAACGCGCGCCTCCAGCTCCAGCCGCCTCCAGTTCCCCGGCGAGGCGCACTGCCGGCCGGCCGCTCGCTGCTGCAGCACTGGAACGCCTGAATCGGGCGGCGGCGCGGCGGCAGTGTGGGAGCGAACCGCCGGATGGACGCCGCGGAGTGACGGCGGCAGCCCGCGCAAAAAGCCTCGCGTGTTTCGATTTTCGCGCCGAAATTATGCGAACCGGAGCCGGGCTGGGCCGCGGAACAGTGGAGTGGCGGAATGCGAGATGAGGCGGCGGATCGTCGAACGTCGGCCCGAGTCAGCCGGGAAGTTCCGCCTGCTGACGCGGCCGCGAGCCCTCGCTGCACCACACTGTCATGCAGGCACACTCCGTGATAGGCGACCAGGCTCGGGATTTCTTTTCCCTGGCCGTGGACCGTAGGCTCTTGTTCCGGGGCCAATTAGCTTGTAATTTGTTTCCACGCACACAAGGCCGTTTCGAACCGTGGGCCTCGCGTAGGCCCAGCGCAAAGCTTTCTCGCGATGTTTCTTTCTTTTTTTACTTCCTTCTCTCGTTTTTTTCGCGTTTCCTAATTTGCCGGAACAGGCAATTAGTGTCTCCTGGGCTCAGTCAGCCTCGCCGCGGATCGATACATGGCGCGTCGCTCATCGGGCAGCCTTACGAGTCCTTCGCGACCTTGCGCCTCTTTCCTCCTTTCTGTCCCGTTAACGACATTAATTTCGACTTCGACCTTGCGGCGTAACGAGTAATCGATCCTGCCTTCCCGCTCGTCGAGGATCGCCGTTTCTCCGTGAGTGCGAGACGCCGCTTCGGCTTTTGACGGCGCGGCCGGCGCCGCTCAGCGTGTGCGTCGACCCCGCCGCCGCCTTGCGACTTCCCAAGTTTGCCCATCGCTTCGGCCCCTCCGGGCCTTCTGTCGCTGCACATTTAATAGTATCCGACCGTTTGCAGCCAACAGCTGCATTGTTTATCCGCCGCGCCGGGCCCCGCCGTGCCGAGCCGAGCCGGATTCACTACGCGTCCCTGTAGGTCGACCCCCGCCCCCGGGACTCGGGTCAGCTTTTCGCTACAGCCTCATCCCTGTTCACCCCTCCCTAGGGAGCCCCGCCCCGGCCCCGCCGTCCCCTACTCATCCCTTCCCCAATTGGGTTCTTACGGAATGGGATAAAAAGCAAACCTTCTTCCTGGCCTGCTTGAGGGCGGCCGGGTCGTCATGTGCTCGGCGTGCATTCCGCCCGGACGACGGATGATAAATCCAGCGGCGCGCGGTTTGTGTCTGGGACTCGAGGGCGGCGCGCACGCGTGGCATGGCGGCACAACCCGCTGCGCAGACCTACCGCAGTGCCGCCCGCCCTGAGGATGCAGATTCGCCAAATTCACTCAGGACTGCGCTCTGCTCGGCTCTGCTCTTCCGCGTCCCCGCTCCGCTCTGCCCGCTCCGCCTCCGCCCCGCTCTGCAGCCCGGCGATGCGACCCGCGCAGCGAGCATACGCTCTGAATACGTCCCCCTCACGAATGTCCCTCGTAATGCGAGAGAAAAGCGCCTGCCCCCTCTCGACAGTGTAATCGAGTTTCGAGAAGGCGGTGGCCGCCAATCCTGCGAGCAAACGGCCCCGCGGCCCGTACTGGCTGTGCCGGGCTGTGCGCACCCACTCATTACCGTAATCCAACTAAACGTTATTATGATTTAGAGCGTCGATACGCACGGGGCGGGGCGGGCGTGACCGACCGGATTACGGTAAAATTATCCCCGGCCGGGGAAAGTGGCAGAGTCATGCGCGCCGCCGCGCCGCCCGAGAGGCCCTCGGCGAGGCCGTGGTCCCCTAGCGCCGGGAGGGTAGGCCGCGCGGCACGCACGCGTGTCGGCGCGCTGCCTACGCCGCCCGGCGGCCCCCGTCCCGCCCGCGCCATTGCCGCCGCGCGGCGTCGCGTCGCAGTCAACGTCCTGGAGGCACAGCAGCTGCACAGTAACTAAAGAGGGATGATAAATTTGACGAGGCCGGCGGTATCGACACGGCCCTTATGGCATTGACGAATCACCTGGCTTTGTCGGGGCGGCTCGGCACGGCCCGGCAGGCAGGCCCCCACTTGGGGCTGTCACTTTGGCTGTCTTGCCCCGCGGGGGCTCGCGGCCCCTTTGTGCAGTGGCGTGGCTGGGCGTGGCAGGGCAGCGCCACCGCGGCGGCTTTACCATTAGTCGGATGGAAATTCGGGCGCGGGGGCAGCCGAAAGGGCGCGGTGTGGTGCTTCACACTTTCAGTGCCAAGCGCCAAGCCTCCAAGCCACGCCCCACCACGCCCCGCCAGGCACCACCAGCAGGCCGCGCCCGAACACTCTGCCCCGCTCGCACCCCTACGGGGCAGCCTAAACAGTGCGAGGAGGACGGCGACGAGAACTCCTTCGGAGTCCACCCGCGGGGTGGCAACCCGAAGGTGGCTGATGGCTGTGGGGCCGCCCCGCCTCCGCCGCCACCGAGGTGGCAGTTTGCAGTGCGGCGTCTTGTCCAAACTTTGCACGCGCAGCACTGCGCCGCGCGGGGCGGCGCGGGGCCGGGGCCACCCCGAGATCCCCTTCAAGCTGAGGATGACGGATCTGTGGCGGGCCGCGGGGTGAAGTGGGCGAAGCGGGCGAAGCGGGCGAAGCGGATGTGCAACCGCAGGCCAGGCCGAGGCAAGCCGAGGCCCCGCCACCGCCGCACGCTTCAAGAAGGCCGCGGCGTTCCATGCATCCACAACAAGCCTCGAGATGAATTGACTCGGACGCGTTTTCATCCTGCCCTCCTTCTTGTTCCCCAGGTGGCCCTCCGCGGCGTGATTGCAGTGGGGCGGCCTTTCAGGAGGCCGTCCCTCCCCTCCCGGTAGTTTCTTTGGGTCCGCGTCGAGGACTAGTGGCGGCCGGTAACGCAGTTGGCGCAGTGTAGGACTTCCACTCCCTCGGCGTGGCGAAGCGGCGAAGCCTGGCCCGAAGCCTCGGCCGCCTTGGCGGAGATTGAAGCCAAGTGCTTGAGATTCCCCCTCGAGCGACTTCAGCGGCAGAGCCGAGGCAGAGCCCAGGCAGAGCCGAGGGGGAAGGAAGTTCTTTCGGAAAGAAACTTTGGCCATTACATTCAGGCTCGCCGGCCGAGGGGCTGGCCAGATATTTTCGGGAGGATAACTGATAAGATAATCTTGTTTGCGAGCTTCGTTTAGTTTTATAGCTGCGGACGCCTTATTAATGTCGCAGTCATGTTTTCATCACGGTGTTACAATACATTTAACCGTCGGCGCAAGAATTTGCGCGGGAAACTTGGACAGAAAGTAAAGAAGGGTGAAGAAAAGGATGAAATTAGTTCCTGTTCGAGAGCGGTGATGCCGGCGGAGTTGAACCCGCGCCAGAGCCCCCAGGATTTGCAGCAGCCTCGGAGACTCATAACCGTTCACGAGAAACACGCCGTAATCTAAGGCTTTCGGTGAAGCTTCCGCCTTCGGGCCTTCGGGCGGCGGCGTGAGGTTCCACCCTTAGCAAGCCTCACTGTCCGAAATTAAATACGCGGCTCGTCTGCAATTCAGATTCGGATTCGGCCGGCGACTGTAACTCACCTTCTTGCACCTGTTGAGCGCGATGATGGTGATGAGGTTGCCGGGCACGCCCACCACGACGAACAGCAGGCAGCAGGCGGCCGCGCCCTGCAGCAGCAGCGCCGGGTACCCGATGAAGAGCTCCACGCGCTCCAGGTCGTCGCGGTCCGCCAGCAGGTCCACCGCGGCCACGTCCCCGCCGGGGTCCGCTGTCAGAAATAAAAGGACGCTGCTTTCAGAAAGGAGGTCGACGGGAACCAAAACAGAGAGTTGTCGCTGTCCGCCGGAGCATCCAGTACCGTGCTCCGCCCCGCCACGCCCCGCCCCACCCCACCCCACCCCGCCCCGCCCCGCCACGCCACGCTATGAATAATGCCGATCCGTTGGTGTGTGCAGTTCCTGGCGGCGTTGTTGGTGGCAGTTTGGAACACGGCACCGCATGTCAACGTACCCCGCTGTCCCGCTGTCCCGGTGCCCCGCATCACGACTATGAACGCTGCTGCACGTCAAAATATAGGAAAACAGGAAAACACGTTTTCAGTGGCAGGGGAACGAGAGAAAATAAACGCTAGACAATGGATTGAGTGACAAGAACGCGGCTGCAGACTTTTAACGAAAATAAAACCTGTAGCACGCCACATTTATTTTTTATTTTTCAATAAAAAAAATCTCATTCAACGAACGTTAATGAAAGCAGATGATCCATCGCGATTCACAACTGCTGTGATAGCCGAGAGGTTAGAGACGTGGGATCGAGTTACCGCAGGCCGGCGTTCGAATACCAGCGTCACAAAAGTTTTTTCGACTTGCTATCTTAAGGGTGGTGGTTCGAGGCCATGAGAGCGGAGCCGTGTGCAACAGGCCCACATGCCGGAGGTTCGACTCCTAAAAAAATATTTCCATTTAATTTTACTGCCTCACCCAGTGCGGTTCAAACCCGTAAACGTGAGCCCACCCCGAGCATGGGACGTGGTGGTCCAGGGAGTAGAGGCGTCGGTTCTCAGTGCTAGGGTCGGCGGTTCGACTCCCCCAACTTCTTGCGAAATTTTGACCGGGTCGGTCGAGTCCTGTTGCGACAAGAACCCACCTCACGCCGATTCCCTCATCATGGGCCGTGGTGGCCAAGAGCGTAAAGTCGTGTGATCCCGATGGCGGGGTCCGGGGATCGAATCCCATCATTTCATTACATTTTTCGAACGCCTTCCTCCCAGTGCAACTCAAACCCGTCGTCCAACACGCTGCCAGACGTACAAGCGTGATAGCGTAGTGGTCAGAGTCACATTCACCTGGCCACTCCGCTGTGGGTGTCTAAAAAGCAATCCGCTTCGGCGGGTTGGCCTCGGCACTGGAGCGATGGAGTATTTGATCCATCAATCCAGACCATCCGGTGTGTGGTTGCGGGTGGTGCCTCCTTGACTCGTCGGGGAGGCGATAATAAGTCCTTTGAAGCTGGCCTAAAACGCTGTATGTTCGGTACGGGAGCGCCGGACAGTGGGGGTACCATGGGGTACACAACCAACCCTACGAAAACAAGAAGCTCCCACCAAACCTCTTCTCTGTCTGAGTCTCTCTCTGTCTCTCTGTCGTCTCACTCTACGTCCCGCCCCTCAAAGAGCTTCGTACTGGGTGCTCTCACCCAGCTGCCTGAGCTTTGGGGTCCTACTGGGTCCCCCGGCGAACGCTTAGGGTCGCTGACGGGATTAACCCCAGGTACCTGATAGCACCGGTTCCCATCCCGAACACCGAAGTAAAGCAGGAGGCCTCCCCATTAAGACTGGGGAGGGGGTGTAGAGTTCAAATTTTTTTCTTTTCCCTTTCAAATTTCTCAGTCAATACTCGTTCGGTTTCCTTATACGGGGTAGTATGCGGGAACCGAAGGGAAATTTCTCCTGTTGAAAGCAGAATAAGACACAAGGCGGAATTGAAAAGGAACAGCCTTACACGGACGGAGTATATCTGAGTGTGCGTGTGTGTGCGTGTGGCCATAGGCGACGGCGAGTACCCGTTTCTATGGCGACGGGGATTCCATCCGTGGCCCTCCAAGTGAATGCCAGGCAACCCCCACAAGGCCACCGCCACGCCACTGCCACCGCCGCAGCGACGCACTCGTAAAGCCCCGCGGTGTCAAGGTCCTCCAAAGGACTCAAACACACCACCGCCTCCACCGGCAGGGTGCGCGGCTCGGCGCGGCTCGGCGCAGCACAGGGCGGGAGGGCCGGCCCGGCGCCGTCAAAGCCTCTTCTTGTCAATTTGTCGCCGCGATCGCGCAGCACGGCGACATTATTACTCCAGGGACCGCCGGGCCGCGCCGGGCCAGGGGCGCGGCCGGATGAGGCGACAGCGGCACAACAGCGACGCCGCTCTGTCTCTGTCGCACCCAGAGGGACCGCCCCACGAGTGCGAGAGGGACAGGCTGTTTGGGCATCGGCCTGCAGGGCCAGGGCCCGGGGCGTTGCACCGGAACTACGGTCCTTGGGGCGGCCTTCGCCGTGCCTTCGCAGCGCCTTCGCAGCGCAGACACCCACCATGGGATTCAAACATTCGCTTTCCATTGGCCGATGACGCCGGCGGGGCGGCGGGGCGGCGGGGCGGCACCCTCTCCATTTTATCTGGAGATGTTTTTCGCCTCCTTTCGGTTTGGCAAATGTCCCACGGCCCGCGCTGGGCCGGGCCGGGCCTGGCCGGCCGCACGCAGATGGGGACATCGACCACAATAAAATTGGAGAGAGATGTCACAGAGGGCGGCGCTACCTTGCGCCTGCCTTGCGCCTGCCTTGGGCCTGTGAACCCGGCCGACGCCATTCGAGCCCCGCAGGGCCGAAGGACCGAAGGGCCCCATATGCAGTAACAAGAGCATGCAGGGCAAGGGTGGCGAGGGAGGGGGTGGGGAGGGTTGAAGCAAAAGCAAACTCGGCGTGGGCCCGGGGATAGTAGTAGGCCTGGTCGACACCAACAAACGATCGAAAGGGAAAGCAAACAAAAAATTAAAACGACGCGCGGAAGAGAGTGACAGGGATGGAGCGGTCAGCAAAACACGGCGTGGGCGCCGCGACATCCCCCCCCCCCGGGGAATGTGTGGACTGGTGTGGACGTTCGAACCCCTTTTTGCGGGTGTTGCTGCTGGTTGCCGCTGGCGTTTGTTTTTGCTCGGCGCGGCCAGCACTGCCAGCAGTGGTACCAACCGCCACGTCACAGCGTTGCCACCTCCTCTGCTGCACAACACATGCCAGTTTAGCCAACAGGGAGTGCTGACGGAGACAAATCGAATGGAGTAGGGCGAAGCGCCGGCGGCGAGGCGGGGCGGAGCGGCGGCGGTGGCGTTTCATTGGGGTGTGGTGTCTGGTTAGCAGCGTCGCTTTTTGCGAGTGATGGTGTAGCGGCAGCAGCCTTCCCGCCGGCGAAACTATTAAACGGGCGGAATCGCAATAGGAGACGGGGACGTTCTTTGAATACGCCGCGGCCTGAAATTGCGGCGCCAGCATTCACCTGGCACCGCCACACTGGCACTGCCGGCACGTCACGGGACAGGCCGCCGGGCCAACTCATGCATGGCAAGGAGACATGGCAAAACACCCAACGCGAACGCCAAGACACACGTGGACTTTCTCACAACAACTTTTGTTCGGGAGACAAAGTGCCTCATAAGGGGGCAGCCCGGCCCCGCCCCGCCCGGCCCCCGACAGAGCAGCGGCCAAACATATTGCATGCCACATCCCACTTGAAAATAAAATCCCATAATATGAAATATTCATCAAGTTGTTTCCGAGCGCGCGAGCTTGCCCCGGGGAAAATCCTTTTATTGCCTGACGTCTCCGGCGCTAGCAGACGACGTCCCCCTCCCCGCCCACACGTGTGTACGTCGGGCGAGTCTAACGACCGCCGCTGCACCTCATCCACTTTTCAGGCGGACGGTGAGGTCCGCCCGTCTGCCCGCTGGACGTGGTCACCCCCGCGGTCAACTACCAGCGCTGCCACACTAGTAGGCAGCATCCACGACGCGCCAGTGTTACCAAATTACTAGGCTATCGGGGCTTCGCTCACCGAGGCAGCCTGGGGGTTGGCAACCCTCTTCGACACTGGTGCACTATGAGGACATTTGCCAAATTATAACGCGAAACTTGGCAGCAGCGCCGCGCGATGAGCGTCTGTTCGAAAAAAAGGAAAAAAGAAAAGACGGCCGGTGTTCGAACCCCGGACCCTCGGGCCCGCGACAAACTGCCGCCGCAAGTCGCCGCGTCCGCCGAGGAGCGCCATAACGTTGGCGAGGAAAGGGTGCAAGAAGCAGCCGGGGCGGCGGGGCCGAGGCGGGCCTCGGGAATCATGGCGCCGCGCGGAGATTATTTCTGGTTATCTCGGCCGCCCTGCGCTTCGCCCTGCCTCGCCCTGCGCGGCCCGGCTGGCTCGGCCGCGCTTTCTTTTTGCGCCAAGAGTGCACCAGGCGGAAAGTGCAGCGCGTCCCCCTCCAGCGCCTCCGGCCGAGCAGGGTCGCTCTGTCTCCGTCGCACTCACGGGCCGCGCCGTAGGGCCCGTAGGGGTGCGAGAGAGACAGAGGAGACTCTTCGGGATGGCCCGGCAGCGCCTCTCCAGCGGCACTCCAGCGCGGCCAGATATAAGGCGGCTGATTGCAGCCTCGCTGCGTCGCTGCAGCGCGCTCTGCATCCACTCCAGCCTGCTCCAGCCCTTTTGTGCACACATCCCTCTCGCGCCCCTCGCAAAGCTCGCGAACACAATCGGCTTCATCAGCGCCTTCCCGTCAGGGCTTCCCGTCAGGGCTTCCCCTCAGGGCTTCCCGTCAGGGCTTCCCGTCAGGGCTTCCCGTCAGGGCTTCCCGTCAGGGCTTCCCGTCAGGGCTTCCCGTCAGGGCTTCCCGTCAGGGCTTCGCGTCAGGGCTTCGCGAAGGTGGCACTCGTGATGTTGGTGATGCCGCGCGGCACGGCGCGCTGGCGGGGCGGGTGGGACTCGGGGATGCTGAGCCAATAAATTACGTCACGCTGCAGCGCGCAGCGGCAGCGCGCACACTGAAACATTTTAATAAGATATGGAGGGGCGTGAAGGCGAGGAGCCAACTCATTATTCCTCTTCCTGCCCCCTCCTCCTCGCCCTCCCCCGCATGTGTGTGGCAAGGAGGCTGGTGGCAGCCCGACGTTGCTCAGGCCAACTCCCCGCAGCCGCGGGACGGCGGCGGGGACGGCGGCGGGTCGGGGAGGTACTCACAGCCACCGCCAGGTACCTGCTCTCCGCCTGCCCCTGGGAGGTATGCAACACTGGCGGGGGCTCAGTCACTGGCCGAGGGGCCCTGCCACCCCCTCCCCCTTCCCCGCCACCCTGCCGGGCTGCCCGGGAGGAGGGGAGGGCCTGATGTAATCAAAATATTACAACCAACTCGCGGCGCGCCGTGGCGGCCTGGAGCCCCGTCGGGCCGAGAGGGACCTGTTGGGGGAGTGGGCCTACGCCTGGGCCTAGAGCTCAAAGTCCGTGCCCC